CCTTCCTTCCTTCCTTCCTTCCTTCCTTCCTCCCTCCCTCCGTCCCTCCCTTCCTTCTTGCTTTCTTTCTTTCTTTCTTTCTTTCTTTCTTTCTTTCTTTCTTTCTTTCCTCTCTCTCCTCTCTCTTTCTTTTGTAGTTCTATTCTTAATTTTTTGAGGAATCACCAGACTGATTTCTATAGTGGTTGTACCAATCTACATCCCCACCTCCCCTTCCCTTAAATACCAAAACTTCCCGAAGTTTTTGTCCCTCTCTTCATTTTTTTAAGTGCTCTTACATCACCAAGTAATACTCAAAACAAGTATTACTGCACCCACTGATAGATAACAGTTGTGTGCTGGAGTTATTTAAAATAACAGAGTAAACAGACTTTAAAAAAATTGAAAAGTAAGTAAAATTTTAATGAGCACATGCCCATGGTAGAAAATTTCCACCTTTGTGCCCTAATCACCCTGAAGCCAAAGCCGGGGGCAAAACCTATTACCAGGTTCTTTGTTATCCATAGAAATTGGACCAGTTAACATCCTTAACAATAATATTTGAAAATGTTTGTCCCTTACACAATTTGCTAGCTTGATAAATCATGAACGGCTTTTAACTTTAGCAGTCTATTAGGTAAAAACATGGTCTTTTATTTTAATCTTAACTTGCACTTCTATTATTTGTGAGGATGCATATCTTTCCATATACTTAAATAGCATTTGCATTCCTTATTTTGTAACTGCCATGTTGATCCCCCTTTTTTTTTTTCTTCTTGGTTAATGGACATATTTTTATTAATTTGTAGGAAAATTTGAGTCCAAGTTGTAAGATGGAAAATATTGAGAAATGATTTGGGAAAGGCAGATTAGAGCAATGGTTACTGGGGAATCAGAAGAAAGGAACATAAAAAAAAAACAACCGACGATGGCACCATAGGTCTTCATTTCTGACTAGGAAGAATTAGACGCTTTCAAGAGAAAACATATTCTTTGAAAAGAGTGATAAAGATAAAAAGAATAACTGACTAAAGATGAAAAGCTCTAGTGAATCAAGATAGCATAAAATAATTAGAAGAACCAGACTTTGAAATAAAATGCACCACTTGTTTAAAATGCCACCACCACCACCACCACCACTAACAATAAAATCTACATTTTATAAAGTAAGCAAAAATAGGTAGTTTGAAATATGAAATCAACTGAACCATGCAATCCCCCTACTCTATCCACCTCAAAATATCTTCTGTTGTTACTTTGGGTGATACACATCCACATCCATACTTGCACAGAGCAGAGAAAAACTTTAACTTGGCACTCCAACAGAAATTTTATTATTAAGCAAGTTCAGAACTGGAAGAACGCTATGAATTATAATTTTATTTAAAAAAACACACCTCCAAATAGGAAAGGACAAACCATAGGAAGAAGTGAAACAGGAGATAATAAAATTTAGGAGAGACAAGGCATAAATGAGATTTAAATTTTAAGGTAATTTTGGTAGACAGAATTTCTAAAACGGCCAAAAATGACCCACTCTAATACCCAAAACCTGTGAGTGTGAGTTACCACTTCTGTAATTATGGTCTGTTATGTGGCACCATGACTTAAAATAGGGAGGACTATCCTGGATTTTCAGGTGGGCCCTTAAAAGCACAAAACTTTCTCCAGCTGGTGGCAGAAGAGGAAGTCAGAGACACTTGGAGCATGAAAAGGCTTCAACATGCCAGCCATGCTTTAGGATGGATGGAGACACTTGCTAAAGAATGTGAGCAACTCTTAGGAGCTGAGGCTCCTGGCTAACAATCAGCAAGAAAATCAGAATTTCGATTCTATGACCACAGGAATCTGAATTTGGCCAACCACTTGAATAAGCTTACATGTGGATGCTTCCCCATATGCTCCAGTTAAAAGCCTAACCCAGCCAACCTTGGTTTTTGCTTTGAGACCCTACGCTGAGCCTGCCCTGTGTTCTGACCTAAAGAACTGTGAAAAAAATGGGTGTGGTTTTATGCCACTGATTGATTTTGTGGTAATTTGTTATGGCAGCAATACAATACTAATAGAGTTCCCAAGGGAGTTCAGGTATAACTACAATTAACATAGAGTCATAAATGACAGAATAGAAAAGAAACAAGAAAACAAAGTCATACAAAAAGGTTCAGAAAGAAGATAATAAAAAAGACAGGAAGATATTATATTTAACATACTTATAACTGAAATCACTGAAGGAAAAAAGCAAATCAAAGGAACAAACAAAATATTTTAAGATTACTATTCAAAAAAACAAAACAAAAATAAAAACTTGTTGAAATGAAAACTCTGAATTTATATATTAAAAGTTTCCCATAATGTACCTGGAAAAACTGAGAAAGAATGGTCAATTCCAAAAAATATCTTAGTAAAACTATTACACCTTTTTTTAAAAAATGTGAACCTCCAGAGGAAAATGGCCAAGCCCTTACATAGCAAAGAAAACCCAAAGCACAACAACAGCAGAACAAAATTTTCAAAAATTCTAAAAGGCAGAGTGTGAGCCAAGATCTTAAATCAGCAAGATTTTAAGAATTAAAAAAAAATTCTGAGGAAATATTATACATATGAACTCTTCCTACAAATAGATAATTTTACAATAAAAAAGATTTGGAGAAATTTTGGTAATGAACATAGATAATTGAAGATCTGGTACTAAAATAAAGGCAGTATTAAGATTCAAGTAATAATGTGCAAAAGTTTTTTTCTGTGATGAAGTAGAAATGACACAACTAAAAAATGCAAAGAGAGGGAGAAAGGTATACGGAGTAGTTTGATTCATTAACATGTAGCTGGAGATTAAAATATTTAATGCTGGCAAAGCTGGCATGGTAAAAATAAGAATAAGAAAAAAGAGGACTAAAAGTGATTATAGAAAGCTATCAGTATAAACATAAGGAAACAAAAAAAATGAAAACACACTATAAAGTAGCATGACAGAACTGTAGGTTCTTTTTATATTAAGGATATTAGTTCTTTTCGAAGTATATTGCAAATATTGCCTCCCAATGTATAATTTAATTTAGATTATTTGCCTTGCGTTTGTTTTCATTTATGTTTTTTTTTTTTTTTTAATATATTTTATTGATTTTTTACAGAGAGGAAGGGAGAGAGAGATAGAGAGTTAGAAACATCGATGGGAGAGAAACATCGATCAGCCGCCTCCTGCACACCTCCTACTGGGGATGTGCCCGCAACCCAGGTACATGCCCTTGACCGGAATCGAACCCGGGACCCTTCAGTCCGCAGGCCGACGCTCTATCCACTGAGCCAAACCGGTTTCGGCTTCATTTATGTTTTAATAATTATATAAACCTCTCATTTTATAACTTCTAAATTTTGTGTCTTTTAGAAAGACTACCTTCACTCTGGAAAAAATATTCTCCAATATTTTCTTCTACTAGTTTTATGGTTTCATGATTGCTCCATTTATTTTTATGGAAGTGATAATAGAAAAAAGCAGTGATTTTTCAAACAGGTTTCCTTGTTACCATCATTGCTGAGTGAAAACGTTATCTTTTCTCCACTCACATGTGATGCAGCTCATTGTATAACAAACTCCTGTATGTTTTTGGAATTATTTCTTAGATCTCTAACTTTTCAATTTATATCGCTTGAAATTTATTTAAAACAGCTTCACTATTCTTGGGTGTTATATTTCCATGTAAATTTTAGAACTACACTGACTGGTTCTAATAGAGCACCTTCATGAATGATTAATTTTGCTTTGAAATAAGCAATTCAATGCATATTTAAAAAATTATCCACAAAATTTGCATATTATCTTAGATAATATCCAGTGGGACACCTGCCCTGAAATCCCTATCAATGTTACGAAGTGCTTCTCTTCTTTTAGAAGTAGTTTCTTCGAAAAGTGGCAAGAGATCAGGCTTTGGAGTGAGAAATTAGATTTGTACACTGCCTCAGCTGCTTACCATTTTGTAACCTTGAGCTCATTACTTAAGTTGGCTGAATGTCAGTTTCTTCCTTTAGAAAATGAGGATAAAAACGCCTGCCTTGTAAAATTCCTGAAACATTAGATAAATTGTATTTTGAATAAGTATGAAATATCCCTGACGGTTGGTGGGACCCTTCGGGAAAATAATTTCAAATAGAGGTTGAAAGCATCCTCCTGTATAACTACAATCTAGATTTCTCTTCTAACCACAGAATTGCCAGGACTGGACCCCTTTTTATTTGTCTGATAAATTTCTATTCATCCGCAATTATCTGTGAATAGATTTTCTCATTTCCCCTTGTTTAGCACTTTCTCTCTTTCATCACTATATCCAAATGTTTATAAATTGTTATTATCTGACTACTTGTTTTGCCTCCCTAAGGAAACTGAACTCCTTCACCACCAGTTACTTGTCCTTTTGTGCCAATCTTACCATATTATCTCCCTCATAATTCATTCTCAGAGGTAGCTGTTTGTTGAACATACATGCATTTTTTACGGGAAGGAGGAGAGCATATAGGGCATATTTATTTTGTATTTTTCTCTCCTTTGTTCTTTGTTTAAAAAAGAAACACTCGGTGGGGAGGAGGAGGACACTGCGTTAGTCCCTAGAAACATTTTTTGTCATTATCTTTTAAAACTGCATGGACTTAACCTAAATGCCTCACCCAACCAACTCGCCAATAGGCAGGGCAGGCATCAGAACAGGAAGTGCCCATGACCGAGGGGGGAGGAAGGTACGCATGCGTACAGAAGTCGGTGCGACTTGAGCATCCCACATGGAGTTCCGGCTGAGATAAGGTCAACGGACGCGAGGCGAGGCCCAGTGCAGAGACCAGAGCCTGTGCAGATAAAGGTATTTTCAGAAACTAGCAATAATTTGATGTAGTGCTCCCTTGGGGACAGGTATCTTGGGGGCCATATTGACCTTAGATAGGTAGCCCACTGCGCAGTCGCGGTATTTACAAAACGGTGTATCAATGTTAAAGGTGGATTATTCACACTGTGCGACAGCGCACTTAAGTTTTCTCTTCTTTTAGGGCCCCCGCTTTATGTCACAATGCAAAGAGCTTTAGAACAAGCTATGGACTACGCGGATCGTGTCATTGAAAGCGCCCAACAGAGACCTCCTCGGAGGAAATCCTCATCCACTAGGGGGAAATCTCTGCATGAAAAGCTGTATGACATCTACATTGAGGAGTGCGGGAAGGAGCCCGAAGGTACGGAGGAATTAACGCGCAATGTGAACTTGCTGGAGAAGCTTGTTCAGAGGGAGTCCTTGCCCCGTTTAGTGGTCAACCTATACCCAGGCGAGGAGGGGTATTCGCTGATGATAAAGGGAGACAATGAACTCTATTCAGAGACCATTAGACTGCCCTATGAGGAAAGGGACTTTCTTGACTACTTGGATGCAGAGGAACTGCCTCCTATTTTGGTGGATGCCCTGGAAAACTCGCAAGCTAATGTTTTTCAGAGCGGGTGTGTCATCACAGAAGTGCGGGACTATAGACAGTGCACTAACGGGGACCGCAGTCGTTACCAAAGCAGACATGTTCTCTTACGCCCTACGATGCAGACGTTAGTTTCTGATGTACACGCCATAACCAGCAATAACCAGACATGGACCCAGGAAGACAGACTTTCACTTGAGAGCCAGCTGATCTTAGCTACAGCTGAGCCCCTGTGCCTTGATCCTTCTGTATCAGTAGCCTGCATTGAAAACAAGCTGCTCTATAAGAAACAAAAGATGAACACTCCCCCAATGAGAAGGAATTTCAAGAGGTATTCTACAGCCTCCCTGAATTGGCAGCAGAAGCTGTCTTATAGTTCACCCCCTCCTGAGCTAAGGGCATGGGATTTTCACAAAAAAAGGAAAGAAAGGCAAGCAGGTCAGCAGGATGACCTCAAATTTCCCAAAGCAGGAAGTTGTGTAGATATGTGGAAACAGCAACCCTGTGACTTGGAGGTCCCTTCTGAAGTGGATGTGGACAAATATGCTAAAGAGGAGAGGTCTGTCGCATATGATGATGCACAACCAACAGTCTGGCCAGCCCTGGAGACACAAGAGGATTCTCTATTTGGATGTGAAGCTGGCGATCCATCCCAGATAACAAAACCGACCGTCATGCAGTCTCTGAATGATCCATTTATCTCTGGAAAGAGAAAGTCACGTAAAAAAGCCAGACGTAGGAGACGGAGACAGATGTCTCACCACCGCTCCTCCACAGATGACCAACCCAGTAGTTCCAGGCCTGGGTCACAGACTGGTGATGGGAAAGCAGCCAGGCAGTCCGAGGAATTGGTGCAGAATTGGGTGGCACAGAGCTCCAGTGGCTCCGCCAGTCTCAGCCAGCTTTCTCCAGGGAGAGCAGCAGAACAGCCTCAGGCTGTGTCAATTCAGTCTCCAGTTGAGGACCAGGGAGGCCAACACACACCTCCAGCCATCCGTCTTCCCTGCAGCTCAGGAAACAGCTCCTGGGACAACAGTTTTACTCCACAGCAGGCAAGCAGCTTTGGTAAATCTCCATCTCATGCCTCTGCTTCAGAGCCACCAAGTCTTCCCAAGAAATCTTCTGTGAAAGGGAACCAAGCTCGCATATTTCCTGCAGCCACCGTGTCTACTGCCAGCACATCACCAAGTACCCTGGCCAGCCAGGTCAAGGCCACCTCTGCTCATCCCAAGGTCACCAAAGTGGTGAGCCCTGCTCATGCAGCCCAGACAGTGGTGAGAGGTTCTACGCCTCTGAAGGGCTTTACCGCTAGGACCAAGACTCCTGTAGCCATCAAGCCCAGAATTCTGTGCCTAGGAGGCCAGCGGCCAGCACCTATACAGCCTGCTTTACCAAAGCCTCCTTCACAAGGCATTAAAATTATTTTTAAAAATACTCCGGAGCTCACACCCATAGCTCTAATCCAAGTCCCAGGTTCAGCCATTTTGAACACCCAGATGCAGCCACAGCAGCAGCCCCAGCGGCAGCCACAGCAGCAACCCCAGCGGCAGCCACAGCAGCAGCCACAGCGGCAGCCACAGCAGCAACCCCAGCGGCAGCCACAGCAGCAGCCCCAGCGGCAGCCACAGCAGCAGCCCCAGTGGCAACCCCAGCAGCAGCCACAGCAGCAACCCCAGCAGCAGCCCCAGCAGCAGCCCCAGCGGCAGCCACAGCAGCAGCCCCAGTGGCAACCCCAGCAGCAGCCCCAGCGGCAGCCACAGCAGCAACCCCAGCGGCAGCCACAGCAGCAGCCCCAGCGGCAACCCCAGCAGCAGCCCCAGCGGCAGCCACAGCAGCAACCACAGCGGCAGCCACAGCAGCAGCCCCAGTGGCAGCCACAGCAGCAGCCACAGCGGCAACCCCAGCAGCAGCCACAGCAGCAACCCCAGCGGCAGCCACAGCAGCAGCCACAGTGGCAACCCCAGCAGCAGCCCCAGCGGCAGCCACAGCAGCAGCCGCAGCAGCAGCAACCCCAGTGGCAGCCACAGCAGCAGCCACAGGGGCAACCCCAGCAGCAGCCCCAGCGGCAGCCACCGCAGCAACCACAGTGGCAGCTACAGCAGCAACCCCAGTGGCAGCCACAGCAGCAGCCACAGTGGCAACCCCAGCAGCAGCCCCAGTGGCAGCCACAGCAGCAACTACAGCGGCAGCCACAGCAGCAATCCCAGCAGCAGCCCCAGTGGCAGCCACAGCAGCAACCCCAGCGGCAGCCCCAGCAGCAGCCCCAGCGGCAGCCGCAGCAGCAGCAACCCCAGTGGCAGCCCCAGCAGCAGCCACAGCAGCAACCCCAGCAGCAGCCCCAGCGGCAGCCACGGCAGCAACCCCAGTGGCAGCCACAGCAGCAGCCACAGTGGCAACCCCGGCAGCAGCCCCAGCGGCAGCCACAGCAGCAGCCGCAGCAGCAGCAACCCCAGTGGCAGCCACAGCAGCAGCCACAGTGGCAACCCCAGCAGCAGCCACAGTGGCAACCCCAGCAGCAGCCACAGCGGCAGCCACCGCAGCAAACACAGTGGCAGCCACAGCAGCAACCCCAGTGGCAGCCACAGCAGCAGCCACAGCAGCAGCCACAGCAGCAACCCCAGCAGCAGCCACAGCAGCCACAGCGATTCTACCAGTGGATTCCACGACGTCAGCAACCTCTACATCATTTTCAACAGCCAGTGGCAAAGGGTTCAAGTACAAAAGGTTCAACCCGTCAAAGAATGATCTTACCTGCTCCTCAAGCTGCTATCATTAACCTCAATGAAGTAGGAAGTCTTCTGCAGCCCCAGATGGCCCTGTTGTCTCAGCCTAGCTCTACCCAGACCATACCTGGGCCAAGCCCTCCCCAACAGAGGCTTCTGTTCCCTGCTGCCTTCCAGCAGCTGCCACAGGCCCAGACGGTACAGTTGAGAATTGTGCAGATCCCAGTGACTGTGCCAACCACAGAAGCCCCAAACAGCTCAGCTACCTCCACATCCACATCCACATCCACATCCACATCCACATCCACATCCACATCATCCACACCCACATCCACATCCACATTGTGGCCAGCAGAAAGCAAGCCAGACAAAAGGTAAAATGAATAGAGGCCCACATAGCAAGTCCAGGTCCTGAATCTTACATTATTTTTCTCTTTAAAAACATCAAAACATCAGAAGAGCATTAAATCAAAGGGTTTCTTCTTTTTATTACATTTTTATCTGTAATGTCTCAGTATTTTACATTTCTAGGTGTGCAAACTGTACAGAAGCACAAGCCTATGGATTTTAAGTAAAAACAGGGAAAAAATTTAATGGGGGAAGAAAAGAATGGACTATGAATGAAATGAAAATCCTAGCTCTGCAATTTACTAATCTTATGTCTATTTTATAATGTCTCTGATTTCCTTGTCTGTAACATGTGAATAGAAATATGTACTTATAAAGTTTATCGTCAAGGTTAATGTAAATAATATATACTAAATATTAATTTTTAAATTATATTTAAATTAATTTTAATTATTAAAACAGTAAATATTTGAAGGAAATAAACCTAAGTATTTAAGCTGAAAATAAACTATAGTAATAGCATTAGTGCAAATAATAGTTTTGTTACATTACATAAAAGCGAACCTTAGAATCAATGGAAACTATGCCTTGGAAATTTAATTCTTAGTAAAAAAAAAAAAAAAAGAAAGCACTAGACTTAAAAATAATAAGTAAGGGAATTATTTAAATATATATGTATATAAATATTTAGATAGGTCTAGATATATAGAGAGATTTTAATTCTCTATTAATAAAAAGTAGCCCTTTAACTCTATCTTGATGTCCTGCACAACATGGTGAATTCTCTGTTTAATAAAACTGGATGCATTAGAAACTTGTAATTCATTCTTCAGTAATTGAGGGATGATTTTAATATATGACTCAATATCATTTGTCAGACAGTATTCTTCAAATGCATTATTCAGGTTGTGCTTATTATTTTACAAACACTTCATAATATACAAATGCACCTGTTGTCTGCCATTCATCTTGCTCTATTCTGTCTTAATTATTTTGTCCCCATCAGACAGGATAATAATCACAAGAGAGAAAAGGTAAAGTTTTTTTTACTTATAATGGATAAGTGAATGAAAATGATAAGTTTAGGTGAACTGATGAAACAAATTACAACAGGGAATTATAGGGGAAAGAATGAGTAATTGGGATATAAAAATACCTTTGTATATATCTGTTAATTAAAAATGATTTCTGTAGCTTCTAAGCAACATATTTTAGGATAATATTATAAGGTAGGAACTAAAAGTCTAGATCAAATCTCACTCCCCCCAAGAGCTTGAGTAAATTGAAACATGGAATATATATATATTCCTAAGCGACCAAACTACTGATAGACTGGTCGCTATGAGGCGCACTGACCACAACTGGGTAGACACTCAACACAGGAGCTGCCCCCTGGTGGTCAGGGTGCTCCCACAGCCAACCTCCCGTGGTCCCTCCCCCCTGCTGGCCAGGTGGTCAATGTGCTCCTACAGCCAACCTCCTGTGTCCGACCAACCTCCTGCAGTCCTTCCCCCTGGCCAGCCAGCCCCAATCGGCCCCGACTGGGACTGGGTGAGACAGCCCCGATCAGCCTTGATTGCCACACAGGCTGAGGGACCGCACCCATGAATAAATTCATGCACCAGGACTCTAGTATTTTATAAGCAAATATAAATATTTATTTCACTTCACTTGACACTATCGTTCTGATTTTCTGGAATTGAAGATTGCTTGAAAAGAATGAGTTATTGAAAGCATTTACAGTTAATTTTTGTTAAATAGTTGTTTTCTTGACTTTATTTGATTGTAATGATATTTGCTATTTGAGCTACCCCTGTGGATGACCAGTAAACATCTTTCACTTAATGTGTCCAAATGTCATAATATTCATCATCTCTCAAAGCTTATAAGAACCTTCACTATTTGGTGGTAGAATAATTCACAAAGTACTAGAATTAATTATCAAGTAAGTAACTTTCAATAATTTTAAAAAGCAGAAAATCTATCTGCACATCCTTATCATCCCTTCTACTCAAACTTGTGGACTTGGAGGGATTCTTAGAGAAATTTTCAGACTTCCTTGTTTTGTTGATTAGATCCTTTATTCTTAATGGCCTGTCACATTCACATTTAGAGTCAGAAAGCAAACATAGGGAAATCAAATTCTGAGTGAAGTATTTTGTATCAAAGTTTCAAGTTTGACAATACTACTTCCCTATCCCTACAGCACTCAGAAACCCTTGAGCATTTCTGTTTAACACAGAGAACAGGCTAGAAATAATACTAGGCATGCCAATTACTCATTTGAAAGTTTTCATTCTTTTTCCACAATTTTTAAAAGCCCCTCTCCCTTATTTTTTATTAAAGTATACTTGACATACAGGTGTACAACATAAAGACTCAACATTCCTATTCCTTATGATGCAGTCACCACAAAAGTCTATTCATTATACCTTATCACGATAACATTGTGTATTTTCCCTATGCTGAACTTTGTATCCCTGTGCTTTTAAAAATAAGTGTAGGTTGGTGCCGCTTATTCTTCTTCACCTTTTTCAGCCATCCCTGCACCGCCTTCCCCTCCAGCAAGCATTCATTTGTTCTCTGTATGTGAGTCTGCTTCTGTTTTATTTGTTCATTTGTTTTGTTTTCTTAACAGCTGAACCACTACCCAATTTAGGTAACAAATGATATATAAAAGTTGGAGGTAGAATGAGTCCTGACTTTAGCAAATAGATGTATGGTGCAATATTTTCACCTGTGACATTTCTCACCAAGTCACACTACTTTGCTTAAACTCCTTCCCTGCATCTTCATACCCCATGGAATCAAATTCAAACTTCTGTTCATCAAAACTGATATTTTTTGACCTGGAATTTGGCTGTCACTTCTGCCCATCTCCTAGTACATCCCCATTCACATCGATGGCTTTGGAAGCACTTAACTACTGCTGTCCCTGATGTGTCATGTTCTTCTTCAATTTCATGTATTGGTGGAGACCTGCAACCAGGAACTCCTTTCCATTCTCAGCTCATCATTTAATAATCAGCCTAAGCAACACACCTCTGGCATCTATTTTTCATAGTATCCTTTATGACATTTCAAAGTATTTCACAGGGTTATTTGTGGATCAAATATGACAGTAAATATAAAGAAAATAAGAATTGAAAAAATATAGTAATGTAAGTATACATTTCAAAGTTTTTATTTTTTCCAAACATAGATTAGATGACTTTGTAAGCATTTATAAGGATTAGTACTTTTACTGGAATGATTAAAATTTGACTTTTATATGAAACTAAATATATGTAATGTATATTTATGATCTCTAATACTTTGTGTTGAATGTTACAACTGTCTCTTGAAAACATCAAAAGGATGCTAAATGGGAATTATTATTGTAAAAAACTGGATATATAAAAATAATAGTACTTTTACCAGTATTTAAATATAATTTCTCTTTAGGCAGATATATAACTTAATAATTATTTTATTATAGTTATTTTAATTTAACTTAATAATAGTTAAAATAATACCTATATGTAGGAAGTAAGAAAATGAAATATGGCTTTTTTTGTCTTTGTGGCCTTTAACCAAGAAAATATTACCAAAATAATGATTCAGGTATAGGTCATTCTGATGAACTACAACAGAACAATCTTCTCTTGCAAAATTCCAAGACCAAACGGAGGAACAAGAAGACCAGTCACTAAGATACTTCTTCTTTATTTCAAATCATCCT